GCAGTGAGCTGAGATTTTGCGCCCCTGCACTCCAGCCTGGGTGACAGAGCGAGACTCCATCTGGAAAAAAAAAAAAAAAAAAAATACGTATGAATAAAACCCACAGATGACCCCACATCTTGATGCATTTCTTCTGCAACCATTTCACAAATGCCTATTACATGCTAGGCACTCTCTCCAGGACCTAGGACCAAAGAGACAGCTGTCTTTCACGAAGCTCATATTCCAGGTGGGTGAGACAGACAAGAAATGAGCAAACAAGGAAGTTTCAGGTAATAATCAGTGTTACCTAGAAAATAAAACAGCATGACAGGAGGGGGTGTTTTTTGCCGCCTATCCTGGCCTCAGACTAACTGGTAAGATGAGTCTCAGCAACGTGCAGGTTAAAACCTAATGACCTGGTGTGTAATTAATCCCAGCGCTTTGGGGGCGGGGACGATGACTTGAGCCCAGGAATTCCAGACCAGCCTTGGAAACAGAGTGAGACCCTGTCTCTACAAAAATAAAATAAAATTATCCGGGCAAGGGAGCGCACACCTGTGGTCCCAGCTACTCTGGTGGCTAAGGTGGGAGGATCGCTTGAGCCCAGGAGGCGGAGGCTGCTCACTGAACTCCAGCCTGAGCAACAGAGGGAGACTCCATTTCTAAAACAAAAAGAAAAAGAAGACAGAGAACAGGGCAAACTAAATGAATGCCCCCTTAAAATCAACCGCCACATAATAAAGAGCCTAGGAAACGTATTTTACTACTGAGGCAGGGAAGAAGGGAAGTGGGGAGGAAAAGGGGAGAGCAGAGGGAGGAAGGAAAGGCAGAGAGAAAGGCAAGCAGGCAATGACCTTAAGAAAGAAGGCTAGAGGGAAAGGGAAGAGGATGTGAATGGAGGAGGTGGGCCGCTTGCTGGGGAAACCGCATCCTGGAATTCATTCCTAATCCCAGTTCGGAGGGAGGCGGAAGGGGCTTTCTCGCCACCTCCAGGTTGTCCCGAGGGACTCGCCCTGCAAGGCCCGAGACCTGGGCGCCCCTCTCGGCGAGGGCGGGGAAGGCTGGGGCCCAGGGGCTGGGACCGGGACGGGAAAGGCCCGGTCCAGGGCTACCAGTTCGCTCTGGGTCCGCAGAGAACTCTGCAAGCTTAGCTGCGCGGCGACTCCGTGCGCGCAGCGAGGCGGGGCTGGAAACCAGCGCTGAGACCTCTCCGACTACCCCGGCGGCTGCCCCGAAGGCCCGGCTCCACCTTTGCCGTTCCGGGAAAAGCGGACGTCAGCCACAGACCCCAGCCCCGCAGGAGGGGCGGCGCGCGGGGAGGGGC